GCTGTGTTGGTGGGCTCAGAGATCCCAGGATCATAGTATCCAGTAATATTATTATTGCTAATATCCAGTGCTATCTTTCTGCTGTCCCTGCTCTGCCTCCTTGCCTGCAGCTGCAGACCATGGTCTCAGCATCCTCCAGCAAAATGTCCTTCATTTGTCCTTGACACGCAGGAGGCATCGTGACCTCCCTGTGCTCTCCCTCTGCCTTCTGGCCAACAACAGCATTACATTCAACTTAGGACCAATTCCACAGCAAACCCGTCATCTTTAACTCTGTTAAAATCATCCCCATTTGGCTGTGGCAGAGCAGAGCCTGTAAATCATGATTAGTGAAAGCAAAGGGCCAGGGAAGAGATAATTAATTTAGCTTTGCTGTTCAAAGGCTGCGCTGCCCTTGCTCAGTGGAGAATTTGTGCCCTTTAGACAAAAGGCAGACAAGTGTCACCTGTTAATCTTCTCTGTGTGCAGCTCTTTGCAGCCTGAGATGGTCCTGTCACAGGGCCCTGCTGGCTCTGGCAGCTGCTGTTTGCAAGTCAGCTGCAATGCTCTCCCTCTTTATTCCTCTGGCTATTTTTAGCATTTCTCTTTAGATGCAATGAAAAAAAAGACATCTCATATCAGTGATAACCAGGTTGTAGTGATTGTTCCCCTTAAGGGACAGACGTGTTGGGCAATGGGAGGGGCAGGGCTTTCCAGGATTGCTCCAGTGTGTGTGCAACATCTGCTGGCTGTCACCCAGGGTGGAGACACCACTGTCACCTGCGGCAGATCCCTTCAGGAGCCTGTCTCCAGCACATCCAGCGTGTGCTGGTTCAGCTGGAGAGCTGGTTTCTGCATCAAGGGCAGGTCAGAACAGCTTGGTATATGCAGAGGGCAGGCAGGAAAAGCCTGCTGAGCCTGCAGCATGTTCCAGAGTGGCAGGGAAGGGCTCTTGGGAGCATCAGGGCTGCATTTAAGGAGTTAAAAGAAGTCACAGTGCTCCCTGGAGCTCTTTTCCTCCCTGCTTTAACTGCAGGAAAAACAAGTGAGGGAATGGGGAGAGCCTGTCCCAGCAATCTCACCACCCCAGCTTCTCTGAGCGTTTGACAGACAGCTCACCAAGCTGAATTTGAGCATCTGAAATTTAGTCTGTTCTGCTGAATCGTTCCTGCTGGTTTTAATCCACATTCATACTAAATTTCTGCCGTTTTATTTTCCCCTTCCCTCTCCCCTCAAGGGAGAAGCAGTAGTTTTCTTGGAGATAGCTTATGATTTTTCCAGACAGAAATTGTTTCCATTCCAGGGTTATTGGCAATACCCAAATATACGTCCAGGAATTGGTCAAAGCCAAGATTTAGAGCTGCTGCTTCTAGTGTCTAATAAAGCAGGACTGCAAAAGGTCAGCCTCTGTGCAACATAGCAGCCAGTTCCACCAGCTAATGGCATAATCTATTATAGAAGTAATTCCTGTGTCTTCCCTTCCCAGTCAAATGTAGCAACAGTGGGGAACATTAACTGTCTAATTTAATACTGAGTTTCTTATAGTGCTAGTAAACCCATTAACTAGGGCTGTTATCCAGACTGATTGAGTCTTGACCTTGGCCTGTGTTTTTAAGTGAGCTTTGCCATTCCCTTGGGATCAGCAGCTCCATTCAAGCAGCAGCTCCACTGCCCTCCTTGCAAGGCTCTGTGCTGGTGGCCCAGCCTGGGTGGCCCTGCAGCACTGTCCTCCCTCTCGCTGTGGATTGCACTGCAGAGCATTCATCATTTCAAGGTCATCCAGAGCTCTCTGACTCCTGAATTTATGGAGGGTAAAGCAAAGCCTTTGCTTTGCTGTAAGCACTTCCAGTTGCCATTGGTTCACCTTTACCCCAACAGTCCTTGTTCTTGTGCTTTTTAGCACTGTCCTTCATACTCTGCTGCTTTTTTCCTCTATATCATCGATGCAGGCTGCAGCATCAGCTGCTCTGTTAGCAGGTGTTTTTGCTTTTTCCTGAGCTGCCCCAGCTGCTGGGCAGAGCCTTTGCTAGCAGCATTCATAGTTAGCATCACATAACAGCTTGGAAGGGACCTTAAATATCATCTGGTTCCAGCCCTGCTGCCATGGGCAGGGACACCTCCTGCTAGAGCAGAGGAGGGGTGGGCTGGTGTGGGAGCACAGGTGCCTTCTCTCACACAGGTACAGTGCAGAGGAGTGCTTGGCATCAGCCTTTGATGTGATTCTCCCTGGCAGGTAAGAGGAAATGGTTTATTGAATTGTTTTGAGTATTCAGGGGCCAGAGGGGTTTCTGTGGGTGGTCTTCTCCCCCCTTTGTGTGTCCTCTGCAGTAACATGGCTGCACTTCCCTCTGGAGAGGAATTGCTCCAAGACCTGGTTCTGGGTGTGCTGTGAACTCTCATAGCCCTCAGCTTCACTCAGTCCTGGGCTTCCCCTCCTCTGTCCTGGTCCTCAGCATCTTGCTAATTAGCCCAAGCATCTGTTCTGAGCACAGCAGTGAACATTTCCCTGAACAGCCGTGAGTTGTCTTGCCAGATTGTTATTTACGTGCTGGTTCAGGTCACACGCTCCCCAGGGCAGGAGTGAGACCCGAGTTTGGCCCATTTGTCTTCCGTGAGTTGAAGAGAATAAAGAAAACATTTACCTTCTGGCTGATGGTCCATTCATCTTGTGCTGCATCTTACGTCTTTATCTGTCAGATCTCCCTTTTTCCTGCACTATTTTGAGTTCTCTAGGCACTAGTTTTCATCCTTTTTTGACTGTCTGTGTGCAGCCCAAAATGCCTGAGCCAGCAGGGTCACGGAGTCTCACTGGTCCTCATGTGCACAGAACTCACTTCTTCCCTCCTTGTATGGGCAAATCACGAGCCTGATAAAGCCTGTCTGGCTCTGGGCTCCCTCTTCTCTGCTTCCCCCATGCCATGTCCCTGCAGATTTCCAGCCCTGGGGCTCTCTGTCTCTGTGTGTGCACAGTTTATCCTGGGGAGCCACAAATCAGCAACTCTGCCCTGGTCCCAGGGATGGCTGCCATGGGGGGCTGCCAGATGCCAGGTGGGTGATGGGGCAGGAATTGTGTGCCCACAGGGAGCAGAGTGTGGCCCTGGACATTGGGGATGCACCTTGTGCTGGTAAGGAGCTGGTGACACAGGAAACTGAGAGAAATGCTAAGCCTCCTCTGCAACAAATGCCAAATAAATGCTGTTTCTGTTGTATCTCAAAATATTAGCTGGAGTGTTTGGATCAAACAGTGGATGCAGGGTGAAAAAAACACTGAACGGAGGAAAATACACCCAAACAGAGCCCCTCCCAAGCCTGTCACCCAGGATGCTGAGACTCCCTCATCCCATTGCACAAAGGTGACATTTATAAGGAGCTCAAGGGCAGGTTTTTCCATGCTGATGGCTCAGCAGCTCTGCCTGCTCAGCAGCAATAACCAGGTTTCTCAAAGAGCCAGGTCAGACTAGAGGGGAGGTGCAGTATTCTGTGGAAAAGTTGGGCCATTTATTGCAGTGCCCCTGTCACAGGGAGCAAAGCCACCCCATGAACCCATGCTAATGACATGTCCTCTTCAGTCCCCACGAGTGGTGAGCTGCTGAGGTGTGTGTGCTGGCATCCTCCTTCCCTGTCAGAATAAATAAATGCTCCCATGGGGCTGAGAGCAGGTCTGCAAATAGCTGAAATCCCAACCTGAAATTAACACACTGCTGCTTGAATGGGGTTGGAAAAGAACTCCTTTTCTTTTTAATGTCTTTTAAATGTAACTGGCTAGCAGGGGGGCATCAGCAAGGCTTTGTGGCTGACTCAGCTGTGTGAGAGCCTGCCCACCCCGCAGGCAGGGCTGCTCTCTGCCGTCACTTGTACCCAACCTGCAGCCTCCTCACAGCATCCTCTGTGAGAAAGGGATTTGGGGGACGGGGGCTGCATCACTCCCTGGCTAATTGCCCCCATTCAGGGAAGTTCGGAGAAGTGGAGGAGGTTTGTTATTGTGCCTGGCTTTGGCACGCAGCAGGCAGAGAGCAGCGCCCGGCACGGCAGCGTGGGTATCCCAGCACACAGCTCCTGACGTGGCTCAGCAGCTGTGTCATGGCTTGGCAGATGCCTGTGGGACAAATGTAGGTGTCAAATGCTGGCCTCAAGCCTCCTCCTTACCATTTGCAGCAAGTTCTTCTACAACCTCCAAAACAGCTGCGTAAATCAGGGTACAGCTGGGTAAATCTTCATTTGTATCAGTGTACCACAGAGTTTGACTCTTTAGTGTTGCTACACACATGTCCCCGTGCAGTGACCAGCACCTGTAGCTTGCCATGGGCCAGCCTCAGTGCCTGGAGATGAGCTTTGGAGGCTCTGTCCTCCCAACAGCTTTTGTTTTGCTGTAGTGGCTGTGGCAGAGACACTGCTGGTGTTTGAGGATGTTGTCCTATTGCCACCCATATTCAGATCCTCTTTGTGGCTACAGTTGTGGAAGCAGATATGAAAACCACAGTGTGGACAGGGTGGATGCTTCTGGTGTTGAGCAGGAGGAAATGAGACCCTCTAATCAAAAAGGAAATGTATTGCTCTGTGTGTGATAAATGGATGGGGAATTGAGTCCCAAGGGGATTGATACTTGCCCTGCTCATCTCATTTTTAACTACTGCTCTAGATGGATTATTTCCTCTGCAGAAATGAGGATTGGGAAGGAATGGCTACCAAGAGACATCCTATAAGCTGTTTTAGGAATCTGTTACCTGGAGAGGTGACAGCTACATATGAGCCTGAGATAGCAGAGATTTTCCTTAGAGACAATTAGTTATAACTAAACAAACATTGACCAGCTGGTGACTGCAGCCTTTATTGGGGTTTTTGGACAAGGAAAGAGATTTTAGATGCATTCCATCTAGTTAAACTGTGTGGAAACCATCGAGTTTTGCTCAAAAAAAAGGCTCTATAGACGTCATTCATTTCGAAGATAAATCTGGTTCTTTAGTTACTGAGTTGCTTTAAAATGCAGATTAACCACTAGCCAAAATAATTTTCTCTTGCAGCTTGAATTTCAGTGGAGTCCATCTGGCATCTGCTGGGCAGTTTAGTGACTTCCTGGGGAGCATGGGCCCTGCACAGTTTGTTGGCCGTCAGACCTTGGCCACCACCTCGATGGGTAAGGAACACAAAGGAGTTGGGTGGCTTTAACTGAGCCTTGAGCAGACAGCTCCTACAAGGCACCTAATAATGTGTCCAGCATCTGCTGATCTAACACTGTCCTGCTCCATTTCTCTGTTAAATCGAGTGAGCTTGGCTGAAAGGTTTTGCTGACTGCAGCAAATGTGGCATTAGGAGGAGAGCAGCAGCTTTATGCTTTTCTCCCTCAGCTCTGAAAGGCACAGACTGAGTAAAATGCAGCTAAAATCCTGAAAATGCATCTTGTGGGGTTTTTCTTTCTCTAAGGCCCATCAGGCTCTGTAAGAATTTTGCTATGGTCCACTATAATTGCATTTTCCAAAGCAGCTTGCAGTCCTAGGTTCTTCCATTTGGGAGAGATGAGAAGCTTGCTGTCACAAAGACTAGGAGACTGAGCCGCCAAAGCCATTTTAGAGGGCTGCCAGTGAAGTTTGTTGTAGAAAATGTGGCCTGGAATCACTGTGGAGCTGCTCCAGAGTAATACAGGAGGAAATCGGGCACATATATGTGCAGGAGGGACATGAAGATTGTTTTTTAAAGATTTTTGTAACCCAAAGAGTATTATTTTGAAAGTCTTCTATGTATTTTGACATTTTGGTTTAGGGGACGTGGAAATTGGCTTGCAAGAGCGAAATGGGCAGCTCGAAGTGGATATCATTCAGGCTCGAGGACTGACACCAAAACCCGGCTCCAAAACACTGCCAGGTAGGATGCTTTGATCTCCTACAGCCTTTTCCTGAGCCCCAGCCTCCCACAATGCTTGTGAACAGGGAAAATTTGAATTTTTACTTGGCAGGACTAAGCAGCATATGCGTGGTACTGCAAACGAGGCTGCTTGGGCAAATCTTTTCCCTTCTGTAACTGCCTTCTTTAGAAACACCTGAGACATGCCACACTGTCTTTTCTAAAGTGAGCATGAAGATTTTCTTCGTATTTGACCATGTTTTTTGTTCCAGCTGCTTACATCAAGGCTTACCTGCTAGAGAATGGCGTGTGCATTGCGAAAAAGAAGACAAAAGTGGCTCGCAAGTCACTGGACCCTTTGTACAATCAGGTGTTGCTGTTTGCTGAGAGTCCCCAGGGCAAAGTATTACAGGTAAGATGAGCAAGTCTCAGATCTGCCCCTCTCTCTCTTCCACCTCTCATGGAAGGTACTGAGTCCTGTTATGCTGGTTAATTAACATAGATGAGACAAAGCCAGTGTTTGCATCGAACCAAATGCACTCAGTATGAACTTAACAAAGGGAGAGGAATCCCTCTTTCTTCATACTCAAGCTGATGATTATTAGACACCTTGCCAGGTACCATGAGTGCCTACCTGGAAATTATTGATTTTTAATTTTTTTAATTCTTTTTTTCCCACCCAGTTAGGATGCTAAAATGATCTTGCAGCATGGGTTGCCTTCTATGCTTATACACATTCAGGGCACTCTGCTTTGCCATCACCCAATTACATATCCTACCTTTTTCTGTCTCTTTTCTGTTACTGCCATGTGTTTTCTGCCATACTCATATTTTCAATTCTGTACCTATGTTTCCAGAGCAAAGAGTGATTTGCATTGTTAAATCATATAAAAATAATTTCCATCCAATAAAGCCTGGCTAAAATCTGTTTGTAATACTAATGTAATTAATCCTTGAGTTTCTATTCTTTACCTCCACTGGTGTCTAAATTGCCAGCTAACCTGCTGGACCCTTTTCTTCAGTAACTTCTACCTCATTTGCCTTGATAAGAAGCATTTTCCCCTGATGCAACAAAACTGCATATTTATGACTGAAATGGAGTGGGACCTGGCTTGGTCTGCTCTTGCCGTGCATGGGTTCCTTACCTGCTGCCTGACTGCCAGGAAAGGCACTTATTCCAAGAATAAATTGAGGAGCTTGGCTTTTTTTGCTGATGGACATGTCACCAAACCCACTTTGTGCAGTGCCTTGCTCCATCTCCTGCTGAGATGTGAACTTTTGGATTTTGATTGACATTCATTGTCTCTCCTACCTCATTTTACAGGAAACTGTAGTGTTGTGCCTGTAAGGAGCTTAGGGAAAGAAGCTGTCAGGATTAACCAGAGATCACTAATTGTCATCATAACCCATCCTACTCATCCTCTCCTCCTCAGAGCACGGACTCACTCTGCAGTCAGTCGTCACCTTTGTCACAACAGGGCCACCTGGCCAGACCTCCAGCATGCCTAAGCCCATGACCCTCACTGCATTTGTTCTTCCACCCACTGGTCTCCATCGTGTCGTAAGTGTGACTCAGCTTTCCCTGCTCCTCTGCCAGCTCTTCCATTGCCCTTCCCGTGTCTGTGAGCTGTTCTGGGCCCTCTGTCCTGCTTGCCCTGCATGTCACTCACGTGTGCCCCTCGTGTCATGTCCCTGGCTCCTGCCCTTCTCCAGGTGAGTGGCCATGCCTCATCTCCATGTGCCCCATGGCACAAGCTCTGTGTGCAGAAGTTAACACATGCTTTTCTCCTCAAACTGTTGGCTTTTGGCCCAAGTTGTTGCCCACCTTTTTTTTGTTGGTTTATTTTTCCAGATCAGGAGCTCCTCCCTCCCTTCCTCCCCAGGCCACCTTTTGGTGTCCAAGGCCTGTTATATGCCAGGACCAGATTTTACCTGCAGGTGTTGGACTGCAGCCCCGAGGACACTTGGTGGAGATTCTGCCCCTGCCCGGCAGAATGGTGTCTTATCCACATGCACATTCACCTCTGCTCTATGGGAGAAAAAAAAATCCAATAAAATTAGGCTTTGTAAACATGCTTAAAATAAAAAAGTAATATCATCAGGCAGAGCTTCATGTTGACTGTTGATAGAGTAAATATTTCTGGTCATCTCAGGCTGTAGCAAAGCTCCAGAAAGTTGGATGGGTAGAAGGATTGGTCAGACTTGTGCTTCCCAAGGAAGTGTGAAAGTTGGAGGATTAACTGTGCTCCCCCTTCTTGTCCCCAAGGTGATAGTCTGGGGAAACTATGGACGCATGGAGCGCAAGCACTTCATGGGAGTGGCCAGGGTTCTCCTGGAAGAACTGGATTTGTCAACTTTAGCAATCGGCTGGTACAAGCTCTTCCCAACCTCCTCGATGGTAGATCCCACCACGGGCCCGCTCCTGCGCCAGTCCTCCCAGCTTTCCCTGGAGAGCACAGTGGGACCCTGCTGTGACAGGTCTTAGTGAGTAAGGAAGGGGGAACTGCTTTTGTTTTTTAAACATGCTGTCAAGGTTTTGTTTGCTGGAACTCTGACCTCAAGCGCAATGCATGTTCAATCAGTTCTTGTGGAGCTGGAAGAGGAGGATAACCCAGTGACCTTAGACAGAAGACGAGGGGGAGGGCACTGTGCCCTCTCCGTCCGAGGAGGAGGTGCCATGGGGCATGAGTCCTAGTTGTCAAATTAGACATACACCTCTTGTTTCACTTCTCTCGCTGTCATTCTTGGACCCTTGTTTCAGATCAATATTAACCCTGGAAAGTTGCAGCATTTGAAAGAATTTGGGGGGAGTAAGGAATTGATTTCTCTTAACTGTGCGTGTTAGAAATTTCTAATATGAATTCTTTCACAAGAAAATACCTGAAAAATTTTGAGGTCATCAAAAAGAGCAGGAACGGAAAGTTTAAGAGGAAGCATTAGGTCTTTTTATAATGTCTTTCTTTCTGAGAGGAAGAAGAAGAAAAAAACCTGCAACTCTTTCTTTAGAATCAGTTCCCTGTCACTGAGTCATGTTAGCTGTAACACTGTCGTTGCTGTGTTTTCAAACTGTGCCAAATTACCAGCAAGTGTCTTTACTGCATTACGTGTCTAACACTGCTGATGAAGCATACTTGGTGGGAGAACAAGTAGCACCCACTTAGAGCAGACAGTTTAAACAGAGTTCGAGTTTAGCAGGCTAATTAACCACAATTTTGCTCACAAAAAAACCCCAAAACACTAGAAGTGGGAGCTGAACATCACACTTGCAGCTTGAGGTGTTTTGTATTGTCAGATAAGACATTCTGCAGTTTGCTGACTCCCTTACTTGTTGCTGTGCATCTTTCAGTCGTGATGTCTTCTATCTCCTGCCTTTTTCCTTCATCTCCTTGGTACTGGTACATATCTGCTGGAGATGCTGCCCTTCCTTCCCAGACCTGAAACAGGACTGTTTGTTTTATTCTGCCATGGGAGAGGAAATGGGGGATTCTGGGGGTGCACAAGAACAGAATCTCAGTTTGCCATCTGAGAAAAAGGTGCTGGAGAGCCCACAACCTTCCCTGTGGAGAGAGGGGAGCTTTAGGCAGTCCTGGCACTACACAGGCATTGACAAGTGTCCTGCAGGAGGAGACGTGATCCCCAAAGTACAGAGAGGTGGTGAGTGAGGAATGTGATGGCACAGTGGTCACAGCACGTGTGTTCTGTTCATGGAATGAGTAAAGCACATTTGCTGAGCTGTGGCAGCTGCTGCCAGCAGAGCCATGTGCTGGAGGAAGTGCTCTGGATCCTTCAGACAATTAAATTATCCAGAATCACAGAGAATCTCCAAAGATTTTCTGCTGATAGCTCTGTTTTGGCTAGGTTTTGTCTTAGTTCCTGAATGAGGATTTGATGACTGCTGTCCCAGAATAAACTTTTAGAGATGTTTTGCTTTGTGGTTTAAAAGTGAAGGTCCCGTGTCCCATGTAGGAATGAGCAGATTCTTGGCCTGTCATAGAGCATTTATTTCTGCATGTGAACCTCAGCTTTTTTAGAGTAAAAGCATGAGTGTTGAGTGGATGGTAAAAGCAGTTGCTTTTGGTCCTAGCTTGTCTATGGCATTTTAAATTATTTTGAGATAAATTACAGGATAGATGCAAAAATTATATAGGCCTTACAATCATCTGTAAAAAAATATATAATATAAAGGAGAGGGAAGGAGGACAAGGGACATAGAATGACTAATTTTTTGAGTCTTCAGTGGCAAAAGCCTCAACATTTCAGATAAATCTCTTAATTTCCGTGATCAAATATGTCTCTGGCCTCTCACTAATTATTTTTTCTAATGTATTAGACAATTTCTATATATTAGCTGAAGAAAGTTTGTTGCATGCTGGTCAAACTATGTTGTGGCGCTCTCTCTTTTATTTTTATTTTTAAAAAAGAAGCACATTTACTGTAATTCAAGTCAGCATCTTTTCCTCTTGGTATGTAGTGAGTACTAGGCAATATTGTACAATATGTGTATGAACTAGAATAGATTAGGTAGATTTAGTGGTTTGTAGCACTGGATCTTTTAATAACTATGACTTTAAAAGGACTGTGGGGAGCTCCAGGTACACACCAGACCTGGCAACAGGGCTTCTGTCCTAAGTTATGCCAAAAGCTTTGTATTGGTACTGAGTTTGGACATTACCTACCAGTAAGAGCTAAGTTAATCCTGAGTTTCCTGTGCCCAGTAAGACGAATGCAGCATTTTTTGCAGTTTTAAATGGGGAGTAGGAGACTATAAATGCCAAAAATATTTCCCCAGAAAACTTTGTTTAACGACTGTCTGTCGAAAAGCTCAGTTCCTGTGTGCCTGGCAGATGCAGCTTGTCTCTGTTTCCTGCCCCTCTGAAAGCTCTGCAGGCTCAGTGATGATCAGTTTAGTTACCACAGGACTCCTTACACCGAGGACTATCTTCCGTCTGGTTTTAATCACGCTGAAGGGTCACTGTCAGGGTGAAATAAAGAAGTTATGGTTCTAGTTGTGTTATTTTTGTTAACATCTCCAATTCTGCCATTTGGAGGCAGTTTCACAGTCTGCTCCATGCGATTTTCTTCTGCATTTTTTACGTGGTTGATTGTGGTCCAGTGCTTTTGTTTGACTCTCTCCAAGTCCTGTTTCTCCCCAGTAAGTGAACCCTGCAATCCCTGGCTGCCAAGCACAGCACAGTCACATGGACTGGCAAGTGCTTCCTTCACAAAGCAGACTCACAGGAGCCCTTCTGCAGGAGCCCGCAGGACACACAGTGAGGCTGGGGGAGCTCCATGGTGCCCTGCAGTTAAATTCTTGCTACACCCATACACAATTCCTGCACTGGCCATGGGGTATTGGAGTTAAAAAAGAACTTTGCTAGCTGCCCATCGATTTAAGAGTCCCAGTGTAGCATCCAAGACAAGTCTCAGGCTTGGAATAGCCTATGTTTATAAAGCCTAACCCACTTTTCCCCCAAAAATTTGGCCGCCCAGTTTCTGTCTAAGGTGATGTGGTGTGAGAGTTGGGATTACCAGTGTGGTCGTGTATAAAGCAGCATTTTGCCATAGTGATGAGCAGCTGAAAACTGAATTTTTGTCCCCTTTGCAATCCCTGGCTGAGTCTTTTCCTGTGCCTGAGTTTTGCTGTTGGTTACAGCCAGGGAGGGAGAGAGGAAGAGCAGGAGACTTAAATAAAAGAACAAAAAGGTGTCACAGTATTTTTGGTTGGTGAGTGATTATGAGGGATGAGTCTGAGGAGAGATAAATAACCTGCCCAACTCAGGGGTGATTCTCTGTTCCTTGTGCATGAACTGCTGCATTGTAAAGGTAATGGGAGCATTGCTGGCCAAAAAACCCATGGAGAGCCAATCCCTGAATGTTACCTGCACTGTGGAAAACAAAGAAATCTTGATGCTGAGAGCAGAATGATCTCTCCCCAGTGGGAATCACAGGGAGAGTAGCCTTGCATGTGGCTTTGTCCTCTTTGTGCTCTGAGCAAAAAGCAGCCGTGACCATGGTCCTGGTTTGTTCAGGAAAAGAAAATGTGATATTTTCCCAGTCTCTTTCCCTTTCTCTTCTTTCCCTTTGCCCCAACACAGCTGGGATGGCCAAGGTCCTCACTCTGCAATTCCATCCATGGGTCCTCATCCTGCAGCTGGGGCTGCTGGAGCATCCCTTTGCACTGCAGGCACTGTGGGCAGGGTCAAGGCCAGCATTTATTGGCCATGGATTGTTTCAAAGGACACTGCAGAATTACTTACTTTGAGTGAAAATATATATTTATTGTTCCTAGCTACCAGATCCTTTATCATTGTACTGTTCTAAATTTGCAGGTCTTCTGGAGTATGAATATCACAAGTTCCTGTAAAGGAGCTGTTTTTAAGATGTTGAGGCAGTTAACAGAATCTCAACCTAGGCATGTTTAGTAATGTTTAGACAGCAAGACAACTTTTTTATGAAACTCATTTTAAGTTAGTTTATTACATGCTGTTGGTAATATTTTAAAACAGGAAAAATATTTTTCTTTAAAGACAAAATGATATGTATGTTTTTTAACAGGTAACATAATTTAGTGTTTTCAAAAATGTTTGATGTTCTTGGTATGAAGTTTACTCATTCTTTTGATTTCTATGTTCCTTGTTATATTTTATCAACTTTTTTCCAAAAGAAAAGAGGCATATGTAAATAAACACCAGAAAAGAGTCCTATAAGAAATTCTGTTCAAACTGGCCATAAAATTATTAGTATATATTTGTTATTGTTCATTAACTCTCAGCTACTTTGTTGAAAGAATAGATGTTGTATTTTCAAGATGAGAACTACTTAGCTAGTTTTGTCATAATCCTGTACTCTGTATAAAAATCTTTTTATAAACAAAGTCTAATAGGCTACCAAGCAATAATATATTCCATTGGGTGTGCACAGATTGTGACTTGCAGGCTGTAGTACATATTGTTGATACAGTTTATAATTGTCTTCAATCTGAACAACATCACTTTTGAAAAAGATCCATATTAACTTTGATTGTAAAAAAAACAAAGACCGGGCTGTTGCCCTGTGAGATATATTCATTCTGTAGATTCTCTGTGTCTGTGCCCATCGACATGAGATCTCTCTTAGGTGAAGAAAGAAACAGCTGTAGGTGACTTCATACTACAGAGGTAAAAAATAGTTTCAGTATAAACTTCATGACTGTTTCAATCTCCTGTTTTTCTTAGGCTATCTAGTATTTGTAACTTGACGAGAATGGATCCCACTGCCATTGTAGCCCTGATAAAGCAAAAAAGCCTTTGCACTCTGGGGCCACTTGAGTTCTGCCTGACAGCTGCCTATTTTCCTCAAGATACCTGGGGCAGGCTAAAGGGAGGGGTTTTTTTCAGAGCAGCAGGTTGGGCTGCTCTTCTTTGAAGGCTCTGTGGGTTATTTTGTCCATTTCATAGGTGGTATTTGTCCATTTTGTTAGAAAATTCCACCCAAGGCAGAGAGGTTGCACCTTTGCAGGGGATCAGGGGGACCAAGGTGTAAAACAGGCACAGGTTGTTCTGTGCCTTGCTTCAGAAATTTGCTAGTGCTGGGCTCTCTGATTTTTTTGAAGTGACAGGATCAGGATACTGGATTTTAAGTCAGCTCCATCATCGATGCAGTGATAGAATAAAAGAGCTTCAAAACAGCATCCCAGTCCATTGCCTGTGGATTCCTCCCAGCATTTCCCAAGGACAAGTGTCCATGTTGTTTCCAAGATTGCCAGGCTGCTGGCTGTGCAGGCAGCAGGTCCCAGTGGTGCTGGGAGCCCCAAGGAATGCTGGAAGAATTCCTGTTTTTTGTGAAATTCTTTGAAGAGACAGAGAGAGATGTGTGTGAATGCAAAGTGCCATCAGTAGAGGAGTCCAGGGCCTATTG